AAATAATCATTTAATTTGTTTGCAATCAGGTTTCTATCTGTAAGAATTACATTACTATCAGTCCTAATTTCATTGATAATGGTTGATTTTGAATTTTTTCCATGCAGGTAGGTTATTAATCAAGGACCAACTTTTTTTTACGTCCTTATGCAGAAGACACTCAGATATTTTAGTGTTGAAATAGTTAGCTTTAAGATTTTTAATTTCAGCATTAATTTTATTTCTAATGGTTTTAAATTTTTCCCAATGCATCTCAGAATTGATTTTTTTAAACATCATTTTATGCAAATCTCTTTGCCTCATTTGTTGCTTAATAGAAGTATTTAGCCATGGAATTCTTTTAGTTTTAATATACTTCCTCAGAATTGGCGCGTGTCTATCAAGTACTTCTATAAAGAAGGACTTCCAGACTTGCCAGCTATCATTCGGGTTATTAAATTGATTGACATAATCCCAGGGGATCCTAGACAAATCGTGCAAAAATAACCTTTCATTAAAGTTTTTAAAATTTCGAACTTCACTACATGTTCTCTGTCCTTTTAAAGGAACTAGTGTTTTAACAGCATAAATGAAACTATGATCTGAAATCCCAATTTCAATTACTCCATGATTGGAGATGCTTTCGGGATTATTGGCCAGAATTAGGTCGATCTGTGTTGCTGAAGACTTAGCCACTCTGGTTGGTTCATCAATAATTTGACTAAGTTGATGCAACACACATATTTTTTTAGTGTTTGCGTATGACTGTCCAACAGCGTCTTACTCCAGTCACAATTTAGATCTCCCAGAACAAGTAGCTCTTTACTTTCTATCTCACATTTATTAATAAACATTTCAAAACTGTCAAATAGACCTATGTTTGAAATTCGGTTGCCTGTACCAAGCACTAATTAAGAAAGGTTTACCGTATTTACGGCAGATTTCAATGCACACCATCTCAAGCTGATTAAGAATCAGTTCTTTCAGCTCTATAAATGAAAAGCAGTCTCTGATATACAACACGATACCCCCACCATTTCTATTACGATCCTTCCGGCACAAAGCGCATCCTGGTATTTTGATCTCATTGTCAGAAATAGAGTTATCTATTTTAGACTCATTTATAGCTAGGACATCCAGCGGATTTTTTTTCTAAAATCACTCGAATCTCATCGATATGTTTCAAAAGACTATTTACATTCAAACTGGCGATTCGAAATCCTTTTGATTTAGCAATTATACTTAGAGGATACAACACATTACTATTAGTATTAGGATAATTATCATTTAACGAGTTTGTCTTTTTTGAGACATAGATGCCTGAGTTAAGGCAACCAGATTTAACAGATCTCTGAGAAAATTTTCAGAAGGTACATGGTTTCCTGTTTATTTAATTATCAGGGTTTAAAAATTTAATAAAGTGTGTAGGTAGTAAAGCAGATCCTTTTGCGCTCAGATGTAATTTACTATTATTAAGTCCAGATTCATCTATGATTGAATTGTCAATAAAAGAAAAGCCAGATTCATTACATAAACGTTTTAGATCTTCATTTACTAGTGATACATTTTACTCGATACTTCAATATCTTTCCTTAAAATGATACTTGAAACACCTAATTTAGCCTTAGGAAACTTTTCTTTAATATTAGAACACAAACCTTTGATGTTCTTTATACACTGATCGCCTGTGTCGGTTGGTAGATTGTTCGTCCCGGCGTGTATAATAACATGGGTTGGATGTAACTGAACATTTATATTCTTTACTTCAGATGCAATTTCCTCCGCTCTTTTGCCTGGAAACGTGAATTTATTAACCCGTTTTCTTGATAGTTTACCAGGGTTAATGTTCTTAATCATTGAGCCTCCAACGATGGCGATATTTGGTTTGTTTTCAGATTGATTTTCCATCTGTCAATGACCATTTAGATTTTGATTTATTTCAGCACGAACATTATTGGCTTCCTCTACCCTCATATGGGAGAAACGGTTATTGGTTGGGACAGCCGGTCCTACAACTCGATCATGATCCAAAGATCTTTCCTTTGGACAGTTTTTTTCTTTCGTGCTTTGTGCACTGAGGCTATTTTGGGTTAAAATGTTATCTAATTTATTTTGGTTTTTGAGTTAAAGATTTTCTCGTTTTAAAGCTGTAAATTCACTATCTGGATGTGGATTATTAATTTGCTTTAGCTCGTTTGAATGTTCCCACAATATGTTGTTTACAGTGGACATACTCGCAGCAAATTCTTTAGATAAAACGTGCAGCCGATTTTCAAAAGATTGCATATGTTCTTCCAGAGACTTGTCGTTACGATCGGGTTTACTGTTTGCTTCGGCCAGAGATATAAAAGAGTTCCCCAGAGTACAGTCTGTGTCACTATTCTGCTTGTTTACTTCAGCTAATTCCTTAGAAATTGAGGCTATCGAGTACAGTTTTTCTTCGGTCTCTGAACAGGCCCTGATAGGCCTCGCAAGGGTTAAATCAGTGTAACCATTACTAAGGTCATAATTAGTTTGAATCTGATTGTGTCTTATCAAGGACTGCTTCAAATTAGGTGGAGTATAATTATTCAAGACTTTGTCGATACAAAACTGGCAGCAAATAAACTTAGAAATGACTGTTGAAATTGTCTGTAAACTTTTGTTAAAATGATGAGATACGTTTTGCATATATTGCTATATATGGCGTCAATTTTATAGCATCAATTATAATTATATTTATATACATTACCAATATTTAATATTAGTATAATTACAAAGGTGACTATCGAAAATGATACGCTGATTGGTCAAGCGACCACGGATTATGACGCGATAATCACCTAGAGGTTTTTTCAAAATTATTTCAAATTATTTTTTGAGAATATTGCAATTATATTTAACAACCACGATACACTGGTTCCAGAGGTTTATTTTTCCTCTCCCCTTCGCAATGAAAATAATAAAAATAAACATCTGGAACCAGGGTACAACCATGAAGGCCAGTGTGAACGCCTGAGCAGACGTCTTGTTTATTTATAAATTGCTGTACAATTGTCGAGCCGTTTGTAAAAAATATATTTTCTACAACAGATTGGTTTCAACAACAGTTGGAATTCACAAATGAGTTTAAAGGCATGAATATTGACGAAATGAACAAATGTTTATCAAAATTCTACGTTTCTGCAAGAAAAAGTGATGGAAGTTATTACAAAAACATCCTTGATGGCGATACAAGGGGCTCTGGATAGACACCTAAGCCCCATTTTCTAAAATTGAGATGTGGTATATATTATTGTTGTCAAATAATCACCGTTGTGATTATACTAAAACATGAATTATTCGCCTCAAGCTCGGTGAATATCGCTGAATAAAAACATCGATTTTGTCTCGGTTTTTATTTAGCGATATTTACCTCGGTGACTCAAAACTGGGTGACCATTTTTACGCGCAGGTCGTGGAAACTGATTAACAAAATGAAAGAACTTCCAAAATGACCTGACGTGAGCGGTTGCTCGCGCCATATCACGCCATTGCACGTGTTCTATAGCGTTTTATGTCAATTGCTGACGTCATTAGAATTTTCCATTTTAGAAAAACAATGCACTATATCTCTTTATTTTGTCTGGTAACCTATGTTCAAATTTTGCATGCTGTATTGTACCGCTTTCATTATACAAAAAATAAAAAAATTCTGTAATGCCAAAAAAATTTTACCGAAGAATATGACATTTTCGCATTTTCCAAAAAAATGGCATTACAGAATTTCTTTATATTTTGCTAATTGTTAGCTTTTCGTCCAAGTAAAATAATGCACGAAAAATAATTGGGGGTCACCATGCTTTTTTTCCAACTATACGAGACGATAGGCCATTTTGGAGTGAATTTCGTACACGTATGTCGTCATAGCAACGAACTATCTGTTACTAAAACTTATATAATTTGAAAGTTGAGATATCAAAATATATAAAAAACCCAATATCTGCTGAATAAATCCTAAAAATGCGTAGTTTGAACATGTCAAAGTGTTGAACATTTGAATTTTTGAAAACTGTATCGAGCCACCTTAAAAAAGCAAATTTCGAAAAACAACCAGGTCAATTACAATGCGCCTGCGTTATGAACTGATTCATGTACATGTACTTCGTTTTACACAAATATAAGGAATAGACCACTGATCTGAATAAAACTGTATTATTCTGTTATTATTTAAATGGTAGGAAATTTAACTGTCCTTGCCCACTGCCCAGAGTAGTGCATGCATTTTTATTTTATGCTATGTGCTAAAGTAACAACATGACTATTTAGTGGGGGGGGGGCCAAAACCCATCAGTGGGGGGGGGGGCAAAGGAGGGGGTGGGGGGGTCCTTGCCCCCCCCCCCACGTATATAGTTAAAAAAGGCCCTGAGCTACCATGCTAATGACATAAGTTCAGTCTAAATAAAACCTATTGGGACCTATGCGAGTGTTCAACTAAACTGATTTAAAATTTAAAACTTAGTAAATTAATTCAAAACCTACTTAAAGTCTATACGTAGTTGTTAAAACCTCTCGAGCAAATAATTTATGTTATCTCGTTCTTATAATTTTGTATGTAAAATTTGTTTTCATGTCTACATTTGCATGGAGATAAGTTCGTCTCGTGTGTTCAAGAGGCGTGCGTTTCGTCCTTTCAAGATGGCTAGCTTTTCACAGAGGCATAATCCGCATTTGTTGGATCCGTTGTTGTAAGCCTTTGCTGTGTCAATGCTTGACCAACAGATTTTGTGTTCTTTTCCTTCGTTCTTTAGACTCCACACATACTTTGACAGTGATGTTTTGTTGCTGTAATCGATGTTATTGAAAGAGCTCTTGTGTTGAGTAAAGCGTTTTTTGAATGTTCCCTCAGTTAGACCGATGTAATCTCTCCCTTGAGGGTCGTCATTCGTGGTTATATGGGCCGCTTTATACACGACGTTTGTGACGAGACATTTGTTTTGAAGTGGACATTGTTCTTTTGTATTGCAATTGCAGTTCTCGTGCGTGTTCTTGTTTCGCGGGTTAAGTATCCTATTATTGTGGGATTTAATTATGTTAGCCATGTTCTGGGTGCAGGAATAGCTCACTTTTATAGTGTTTTTATTAAAAATTTTGTGTAGGCGATGGTCTTTTGGGAAGTGTTTTTCAACCAAGGATAAAAATTTGTTTCCGATGTTGGTCTTGAGGCATTTGTTAAAAGGCGGGTTATACCAGATCGTTTTCCGTTTTCGGTTCTTTCTGTTGGTGTTTGTGCTAGTTTCATAGGACATTCGGTGGTTGAACCCGCTAGCGTGTAACGCTTCTTCATAGCACGGTTTTGCATTGTTGAATGCTTCCTCGTTGTGGGATAGTTGGGAGATGCGGCGGTTGACAGCCTCCGGTAGTTGCCGAATGATTGGAGGTGGATGGTTTGAATGGGCATTTATATAAAGTGGGCGGTCGTTGGGTTTTATGTATGGGCAGAATGTATCTTTATCTAGATTGAAAGTGATGTCGAGGAAATTCACGATCTTTAGGTTTGTTTTGATCGTTATCGACAGTCCTTCATCTTTGAATTGTTTCGTGATGTTTTTCTTAATTCTTTCGGCTGTGGTCCCGAGATGTTTTCATATGCAGCCAGGCCATCATCTCTATATAGTCCTATGTTTCCTTTAATCACGGTCTTCTCTGACAATTTGTTCAGCATATACAGGCCAACAAGCTCACATATTTCGGCCCCATCATATGATCCCATTGTAACGTCAAACAAATTGTCACTCGCTCTCTTAGGTTTTGTATTAATTTACTAAGTTTTAAATTTTAAATCAGTTTAGTTGAACACTCGCATAGGTCCCAATAGGTTTTATTTAGACTGAACTTAATATGTAATTAGCACGGTAGCTTAGTATATGAAGCTCGTGTGCACCATAATCTATTGCTGTCTGACGATCGGTATACGTGAAACTTAAGTAGCAGCACATTAAATTTTTTTTAAATTTTTTATTTTTAATTTTTTTCATTTTGAACACCATATTAAGCTCTGCGAATTTCCCGCATCGAGCACTGTACTCGTTTTGGCTTCAACAACCAAGCAAGTTATATATATATATATATATATATATATATATATATATATATATATATATATATATATATATATATATATATATATATATATATATATATAGTTTGCTGTACTATTGTCAATGTCTGGGCAAATCAGTTATCAGTTTGAATCAGTAATACCGACAGTGTGACTAGATTTTAATTGCTTTTGGTAATATTTCACGATTTTTCTGACTTTTTTGGTACGCTATGTTCTTAGGAAGTGCCCTACCGAGAGGCAGCAACCCCCTGAAAACATATTGAAATTTAATCTTCCATTTCGCTACACTTTTTACGCTTATTTTCGCGAAAGCAATGTAAATGAATGTTTTAGGGTCTTCGTTTTCGTAGTACGAAAACAAAGATGGGTCTTCGTTTTTGTAAATACGAAGACCGAAGACCCATCTTAAGTCTTCGGTCTTCATTTTCGTAGGTCTTCGTTTTCGAAACACCCATTGATAGATCCACAGTTAATAGACTCTATTATCTTAGTCTATTAACTGTGATAGATCTGAGCCTTTTCATTTTTGGTATGGGGCAGAACTATAACAATACATGTACATGTACAAAGGACTGAAAGGAGTAAAATACAGTTCAAGTTTCTGTTTTTTATGTACCTATAAAACCAAGGTTGAATCAAGGTTGATACTGTATGACTCAAAACACTGTCGTACACAGGGGCGTAGGAACCGGGGGGGGGGCAGGGGGGCCTTGGCCCCCCAAGTTTTGGCAAGTGCCCTTTTTCCGGAAGCAAAGTGCCCTTTTTGTGCGTGAAAATTTTTCATTAAAATTGTATTTTTAGCCCAAGGTGCACTTTTGTAAACTTCAATGTACGTTATTTCCTGAAAAATGTTAAAAATTGCGGAAAAAAATCATATATCCGGAAAATTTTGTTTGTATTCCGGTATCCTGAGGGCACATGTCGTACCCAGACTGCGCGCGGTTCCTATGATATTAACCTTGGTTACTATGTAACCTCATACTGACCGAAATTTTTTTGGCGACGGGGGGGGGTCGCCAACAAAAATTTTGGAGATGCCCTTTTTTTTCGAAAAGTGCCCCTCAAAGCCTGCCCCCCCCCAACTTTTGGAAGGTTCCTACGCCCCTGGTTGTACACTTTGTCAAAAATACAGTAAGAACAAATCCCAAAATTGTGCCCAGTTTGCAATTTTATTATAGGGTTTTTATTATTTTTATTTTATAATAAAGTTTTGTATGTTTTCTGTCTTGTATGTAGGGTACACCTGGTGAACGTGGTGATGCTGGAGCGAAAGGTGATAATGGCCCACCAGGCCCACCTGGACCTGGTGGCGTTGTTGATGTAAGTTAATTATCGATAGTAATCTAAGTATCGTTTAGTAAAATCTTTAAACTTTGGTTTTTATCGTGCATGCATGCATGTATAACAGTGCCGTAGCAAGCTCGATAATTGTGGCTCATATTCATATATTCGTGTTCACAGACCATAAAAACAATCGATTTCAAAAGAAATTAATAACACAGAACACGAATATATGAATATGAGCCCCTCCCCCAATTATCGAGCTTGCTACGGCACTGTATAAGCAAATTGTTGACAATACATACAAGCAATTTCAACTTGTTAAGAAAGCCTGTCAAGGAAAGATGATTTGTGAAGGAAACGTTTGGATTTGATTTCTCATCTTCTTAAAAGTATAAAATGTTTCTTTCAACATGAATAATTTCACATGTGTTTTAAATAATTAATGTTCATGTTTTTTCTACTGACTACTATAGTTAGTGTGCTAATTTTAACTTGTGATCCAGAGTAAATGATCAGTATTCATAAATATTTCCCCAATATGTCTCGCTTTTGAAATAAGATATACTTTCTATGAAGCAAGAACATTTTCCAATTCAAAAACTCCTAAGTGTGAATTTAATGTTTTGTCTTTTGAAAACATTTTTTTATTAGTTTTCCCAGAGCTTCTGATATAGAGAAGAATAACAGGGAGCATATTTAAGTGCATTGCATAATGTTAATTCTTAAGGGGCAGATGCCATATTTTTCGTAAGAGGAATGCAAAAGCATTTTCAGTTAGGAGGAAATGTGTGTGGTTATAATAACACTTCATTTAATTTTTTAGCCTGACGATACACGTGGAAAAGGTCCTGGACCTAATCAATATCAATACATTCCTGGCCCAGCTGGTCCAGCAGTAAGTTAACCACAGTTCCTGTTTTAGTGACTGAAATGATAATCGGAAACTGTATTAGGCCAATCATTGCATTGGTATACAATCAGAATTGGCAACAGTTTCTTCATTTCTTGATTGTATATAACTCGTCAATGTGGAAATACAATAACATTTGGGGTTCCCAATAGAATTCAGAGTATGAGGGTTTTTGGAAGACGTATTGTAGGCAGATATGTAGTGCAGAAGCTATCACTCCCCTTGGGATGGATCTGAGGGTGTCTCCCTGTGCCAGACTTTGCTATGCGCATGGGAGATATTCCATGCGCATTTTTCAAGCTGATGTGCACATTCCTGCAACCTTCCGAAACCAGGCACAATCCGTGCTCATTCTGCATGGTCCATGCTCATTCGAACATTTCTACCTATTGTATTACTTAACTGTCAGTAATATAATGGCTACTGAGTGAACAATATCACAACATTATATAACATTTACAGAACTAGTATATTTCGATGCTGAATTGATATAAATGAGTATGTTTATGATATTCAGAATAAATTAAGTTCCTAATTTCCTGTCCTCTATTGAACCTGACCGCGTAGCTCAGTTACAAGAGAGTAGAGCTAGCATTTCGAAGGACCCACAGGTTCAAAACACAACCTCAACAGTCAAAATTTTTTGCTTGCATATAGTTTTAGCTCATTCACTCAGAGTATTTATACACACAGGTGTGCTCCCACCATGCGCATGTGATGGCAATGGCAGAGTGCAGTAGATAGAGCAAATAGACAAATAGTATAGTTTTTTAACCCGAAAAGTTGCCACTACAAATATATATACTCAATACAACTGCATATTGTAAAGAAATGATAATACGTTTCAAAAAGCAGCCGTGTGTTTACACTTCATTAAATGTAAACAACCAATCATTCGAAGTCGTGAATGCAGCAAAACTCCTTGGAGTAACTATTACACAAGATCTCAAGTGGAACACGCACGTCGAGAACATCTTCGAACGGAAAGCTGCTAAGCGTATTTATTTGCTAAGACAACTCAAACAAGCTGATGTAGATTCCAAATCGTTAATTAGATTTTACTGGTCTTGTATAAGATCAGTACTCGAGTATGCTTGTCAGGCGTTTCATACTAGTTTAACGCAGTATTTATCAAATGATATAGAGCATGTTCAGAAAAGAGCCTTGCGTATTATTTATCAAGATTTGAGTTATACAGGAAACTTAAAAAGAGCAGAACTGGAAACCTTGCATGACAGACGGACTATGCTGTGTGATAAGCTGTTTTCAAATGTTATTACGAACCCACAACATAAATTGGCTGAATTGCTACCAACCAAAAATATAAACTCATATGGCCTGAGAAACAATAGAAAGTTTAACGTTAAGCGGACAAAGACAAATAGATTTAATAATAGTTTTATAATACATCAAGCTGCAAAGTTATAGATTTATTGACTATTGTAAATAAGAATAATAATTTTAATGTAAATAACTACTAATTGTAATGTAATTAACTACTTTTATCATTAATTTTAATGTAATTAACTACTTTTATCACTGTAATTCAGTCCTCGGACTGCAATGGTTGATTTATATTAAACGATTTTATTATTATTATTATTATTTATTGCTTGAAAATAGCGAAATAGAAATTTCCTCTAGGATAACTATACACTGTATTTTTTTCGGCTCAGCCAATTAAGAAATTAACATTCTTTGCAATGCACTTTTCACTTTCTCTTTGTTTAGGGTCCACCTGGTCCCCCAGGACAACCTGGTCCACCTGGACGAGAGGTACAGTAACATAAACATGTATTGTATATACTTTGCCTCGTAGGCATATGGGAGGGGGGAAATCAGGGGAGGAGTGGGGTGGCAGAAAGAAATGTGCATGATGTTTTTGCATTATGCCTAACTTGCAACATTCTTGTCAAGCCTCTGATATAGAGAAGAATAACAGGGATGATCCTGCCAGTTATTCCACATACATAATAAAACGTGGCTAAAATAGCACAAGAAGACTGGAATCCCTTCACATGATCTAAGCCAACCGGGATGCAAATAACATCATTTTATAGCAAAAGTCTTTTATAAATTCCATGGTTAATTCCATTGAAAAAAATAATAAAATACCAATGAAATGTATTTTTTATTTTCTCCATTTTAGGGTGATAGAGGTGACTCAGGTGCTTCTGGAGAACCTGGTGCTGCTGGAGATGCTGTATGTAACATAGTTGACTACCATTTATCCAGAGAATGTATCTATATACTGTATAGTCCTTAGATTGAATGCATGAACACACTTTCAGGATCCAGGGGTCGAAATTTAAATTTTTTTGTACTATACAGCCGGAATATTAGATTTTTATATTTACTATTCCGTCTGAAGATCCACTATTCCTTAATGTACCGTTTCTGATTTTCATGAAATCATCCTTGAGACTCCTAAAGTGAACTGAATAATTGAATAACAAAAAATAAACATGTACAGTGCATTGCTCTGTACAGTGTCAACAGTGATGAACAAATTATTAATAAAAAACAAAGTTCAAACACTGAATTGAACTTGCGAACTTTGTTGCGAAGTTTGCGCCCAATTTCCGAACTTGGAAACGTAATTGGCAAGTTCGCAACGAACTTGGGAACCGCGCGTTGAAAAGTGACTTGAAAACGACAATAATATTGCTGCAAAGAAATTAGAATACGCAAGTACTGCAAGCGAATAAGAACTTAGCTACGAAGTGGAACAGTGGCTCAAAGTCTGGTATAAAGTGATTTTTTATGAGATCAGGAAAACCCTTGCTTGTCGATATTTGGTACCACAATTTTTTCTACTATACAAACGGAATACTGTGATCATGAAGTTTACTATTCCGTCATGCATTTTAGTATATTCGGAATAGCGGAATAGTGGGAATTTCGACCCCTGGGATCACAGCAAGTAGAAAACTTACTGCACAATTGCTTTATATAAACAATTGCTCCTCTATAAACACCTGTTGAGGCATTCGTTTCGTCAAAGGGCAGCAAATTATAGAACTGTAGTAGTTTCAAAGTAATTAACATGAAAATGAAAGATCAAACTTTTTTTTATATTCCAAATAATATATAAACACGATTAAACGTACATCAAGTCATAATTCCAACTTTTGGGCCATTGCACTAATAAAAAACGTACATACTGTTCAACATGTGAGGGAGTCCAGAGTAGGACGGAAGTACAGTAAAATTTAGGGAAAACAAAAGTAATCAAAATATACTGCATCAACCTTGAATTACTGTACTCTGTAGTACTAGTGGGAGATTCCAGAGAACAAGTACATTAAAACTCACTTTTAATCCCTGTTGGCTTGATGGGTAGAGAGCAGCAGTCTAAAGACCTGAAGATGAAGTTCGAATCTCGTTCTAGACAACAAATTACATATACGTTGTTCTTAGCATGTCAGAATTCATAACATTATTTTTATGATTTGTAAAATCTCATTTTAGGGGCAAGCGGGTTTAAAAGGAGTGACAGGCCGTGATGGAACATCTGGAGATAGAGTATGTATCTATTTATTAATGGATTAAGTTAATATATCAAATGCTCTCCCAGCTGTAGAAGTACAAGGTAATCTACTGTAGCTGTATTGTGTTGAATATTAGAAGGGACAAAGAAGTGCTCTTCCCACATATCACCATAACAAATTAAAGAACTTAAATACTCTACATGTATATACTGTACTTCAGACATTTTAATTCTATTTAAATCTAGGGCCCTGATGGAGATCCAGGTTCTGAGGGTGAATCTGGTATACAAGGACCTCAGGTATGATACAGTACAACTACAATGGCAAAGCTAGCTACCGGTCATGCTATGACCAGTTTCTATATCTAGCTTTGCCACTAGCACTGTGTATTTATGTTTTGCAGAAAATAGATCTAAGTAAGTGTATCTTTGGTATATTACGTATATGCAATAATAATCTTAATTGTATTATCAATTTTTGTTTGTTGTAATTTTGCTTCGGTTAATTGCGTCTGGTTGTTTGTATGTGTGGTCTCGTCACTTTCATGCGGCTTTATTTACTTTTAGTTTTATACCTTTGGAAGCTAGCTCATTTTCGACCAATTATGCGCAGTTCTACTGTCACGACTTACGATGCGAGTAACTATGTTAGTTTGTTAAGAGTGTTCAATGTAACTATACTGTAGGTTATTTTAATATTTTATGATGGAAATCAAGCATCAAAGCCAACGCTTTTTTATTTTATTTTGAACTTGAAAAATTCCCAAGGCAAGCAGTATTTTTAGTAAATAATTCACAGTTTTAAATACGTTTGGCTCTGTGAAAATCATTCGGCAGATTCACCAGTTCAAGGGAACAGCCAAGTGTCTTGTATCTGATAAAGTATGGACTGCGAGTGTTTCAAAATGGCTTAAAAACGACCCATTGTGGCGTAATTTTAAGAATTAACGTAATGTCTAAGCCAAGAAAATCAAAGCTAGTTTCTTTCGTTATTTGATTGGTGACGGTGTAGGGTGTTATATTTTGTTTTATATACAATAGTTGGATTCATGATAAAGATTGAAAAGATATATTTTTTACACTTAAATAAGAGAATGTTAAAACTTAAATAAGAGAATGCTCACGTTTTAACAACAAGATAAGTTTTAACAACATCTTATCAGCTGCTGTCGCTGACCATTTATGCTGATGTACTAACTCTGTTAATTATTACAACTTCCTTATAAACGAAAAACAAAAAAGTGAATTTAGTAAATGTTTCTAAGTATTTAGTAAAGTTCCTAATTCATTACTTTAAATAAATGTACTATGTGTCATTAAAACTTGCATACAATTTTTCTAAGAAACCCTTGCCATACAACTTCAACCTTGTTAATTTCGTATGTCGAGATTTCCATGCTTGAACACTGTGAAGGAGACGTAACATACACATGTGGTTAGAAATTTCCCTCCAGTTCCCAACTGAATTCATTCAAGACGGGTTTTTTTTTAAAAAATTCATTCCATTTCTGGAATGCAGCATCGATTCTTGTGTGGACAGATGATGACATGTCCTCAGAGTCACTGATGGTGTATCCAAGATACTTGGAACTCCTGGTGTTCTTTATTTTCTTTCCTCCAATACTGATCAGATTGAATACCGTTGTTTCCGCCTTATATATGGCATCTGCATTCAGAACCGTTTAAACGTTCTGTCATAGGGGATGGGCTATTGGATTGCAATCTAAACCCACATTCAGGGAACTTGGCAACAAAGTCGATATATATAGATGTTAAAGATGACTCTAGGATGCCTTGACAGCATCCCACCACAGTTGCAAAGAAGCTGGTTGTTCTTCTATCTTCTAATGAAGTCTTCGTCCCAGTCGAATATCGAGACAGCGGAATAAGTCATCTCGTTGGATCTAGTCATATGCGGCTTAATTAAGTTCGATGAAGGCTATGAAAACCGGTTTTTATTTTCCTCGATATTTCAATTGCCTAGGGTAAGATAAATATTGCAATGTCTCTTGACATTTATTTCTTTCGTTGTGAAACACCGTTTCCGGGGATGTACACGATTACAACAGGGTTCAACCAAATTGACCTGTGCTTCAACGAGATCAAAGGATGATGTTCCTGGAATATATCTTCTGCTACTAGATCAGGTTCCTCAGACTTCGTGAGCATTCTCTTATTTCTCCTGTCCGAGCACAACACGATCTGGGTGTTTCTTCTTCATGAATTACAAGACCAGGTTTCCAATGACATTTATCTCATTCTATCTATCTCCTTTCTGTAACTTCGTTAAAGATCTTGACTGACGATAATAAGTATAATTTCTGCTGCCTAATATGAAATTTCTGTCTTGCTTCAACTAGATCTGGGATTCGAGGTTTCAATTGCGATAGTGTCGCAGGAATTTTCGAACGTAATCTTCTATTCATCGGTAGCTGCGCTGAACTTCCTTCGTTGTCAATTGGAGTGTTTCTGTATCCCGACAAACTCGAACGCGGATATTTGTGATATTTCTTTGCTTTCGTAAAAAGATCTTCCACAGTTTGTAAAGCCCTTTGCATTAAACCATTAGTTTGTGAGTTTTGTGGACCAACTGTTGTATGCTTGAACTCCCAACTTTCTGCAAATGCTCGATATTCACTTGAAGAGTGTTGTGGTCAGTAGTCACTGACGACGTCTGCAGGAATTTTATGTCTGGAAAATATCGATTTGGTATAGGTGATGATTGTTGACGTCTTTGTATTGCGTATAGTTTAATAACTTCAAAAAATCCAGAATGGTAGTCAATAAAACGTAAATAGTTCCAGTTGTCCAAAGTTGTTACCATCTCCCACGAACATTGTATTCTCCTTTCTGTGTTCTAGAAATATAGACAGTGCACTTTGATGCCATTTCAGCTATTTGCTTATTCATCATCGACAAACATTTCCTTTCGCATCGAAAAGGGTACGACTATACGGTTGCCTTTCAAGATTATTTAATCGATAACTGATATCTGAATATTCCAATATGGTAGAACAGTTGATGGTAATTTCTCTTTTTGATCTGGCCAGCCTGACTGAATGATAATTCTCGAAGTCCTTTCTCACGTGTTGGCCATATGTATATGATATCTTCAATTGTTGGTAACGGACCTTTCACTCTGAAGCGGGTAGGGTTGAACTTACGAGATGTACATGCAGATTAATTTCCTTTTCCATTTCACTGTCTGTTTACTCGGAAAATGGACGACTTGACAACATACCACGCAATTGCTGACATGTAGTGTAGTGTAGTGTATAGTATAGTTGTATTTCTTTAGCTAATCTCAGCGGTTTCTTAACAGTGGAATCGATCAAGACTGAATTGAACTGAACATATCTGATTTCTGTTAAAGACCTCGACGCATATGCTACTGGGTTGCCATCTTGCAAGTAATCGGTTTCGTTTCATCACAGAACTTTAATACTGGACCTTCATCTTTCCCAAGGTAATTGACGGTTACGAGGTGTCTTTCCACACCTTTCATGTCTCTTCTCTTCATCAGGTTTGATCAATCATGCTCTTCCTCCGTCTTTCGTGAACTAGGTTGGATGCCGTCAATATCCGTTTCAATATCTTTGCATGAGATCACCAAAGTGTTGACTCAAGCCCTTTCCGAACACTTTCTGCGCTGATGTAATACCAAATGGAGTGGAGGCGTAACAATATCTGCCAAATAAATTATTTAATGTGGTAAGGAGTTGGCTCTCCTCGTCTAAGGGGATCTACCAGTGGCCTTGATTAGCGTCCAATTTGGAAAACCACTTGGCGTTGGCCATATGTATATGATATCTTCAATTTTTGGTAATGGACCTTTCACTTTTGACTAAAATTTACCTCCTTCAGAAAAAGGGTATGTATTTCCCGCGCGTAACACAATATGACTGAAAATTGCAAACTTCGCAAGGCTATATTATCCGTATTTTACAACATTTCGCAACGAAACTTTGGAATATTATTAATTTTGTGATGCTCTTTCAAGCTGTGATAAAATTTTTGTCTAGACTTGTTGAGATCTAAATTTTAGTCAAAAGGTGAAAGGTCCATTGAAAATGTTCACGCTTGATTGTTTTATTTAAATGTTGTGGGTCCAAACATATGCAAAGTTTTCCGTTATGTTTCTCCAGCACTGCCACAGAACTGACCCAATCAGCAGACAAAATCCGGTTAGCTTAATCCTAGGTTGGAGAAAAGCCGCAAAGCAAATTTCCAAACAGCTTATTTATAAACATGAATATATTTTTCCAGTTCTATTGTCTCAAGTTTTGAAATAAACATACATGCAGAAATACACAAACCAAAGCAACAGGTTAAATTTGAACCCAGGATGAGCCAACTGGCCCCTAGACTATAGCGTTTTTACATGTTATATTTTGTCTTATACACTCGGATTGAGATTGATAAAGATTGAAAAGATAAATTATTAACAGCATCTTGTTCTGCTAATCATTACATAGGGAGGCCCAGCTTGGTATATCTTTTCAAAACTGTTCTGACCAACGCTGTACAGGCTAGGACGTCAATAATCCTAGACAAGAATCTGCGGCACAACTAATTTCAGCCAAATAGCAAGGCCATTTTTATTTGACAGTACCATACAAGCATGGAAAGACATTGTTTTTAACAGGAAATTTGTACTCCTTTGTATTGTGATACAACAGAATCTATGATTTTGGCAGATTTAAAATTTCATTATACAAAAAATTCCAGTATATCGGTTATTACAATATTCTAGTTATTTTGGTATTAAGAGTTGAGTGGATCACAAAAAATGCCAAATACTTTGTTCAAACGTTAATTGTCCTTCAGTAGCATATTGCCAAGCAACCATATGCTTTCAGAATGTTTCATAAATAAAACCTAATGACGTTGGAAGTTAATAAAGATACTACAAGGGGGG